GCCTTTCTCAATAGACTAATTTCTAGACGTAGATATTTCATAATTGATTATTATTTTCCCGGCTGTTATAACAAGGGAAATTATGGGAATCGTCAAATTTGATCCTCTGAGTTTTTTTCGAATCTTTACGTTTTGAGACTCCTGAACCCAAAAACTCAAAAAAAGAGGCAAAAAATTTCGTAGATGTGTGTTGTTATGTGTTTTCGCCTAATATCTCATGACGGGGTGAAGAAAGATAAACAAAATTTGGCATGATAGCATGTATAAGGGGCATTGATGCTATTAAATTTTGATTGTTAAAAGTCAAGGGACTGGAGAGATAGAGGATGGTCGCATATCTCGCGAGGGATCAGACTTATTGAAGATTTGACTTGTTAGCATTTATAATGTTTTATAAGACTCATTTATACTCTCAAAATTAAATCTTTTGCTATTTCATAATAATTAAAAATATATAAAGTTTTTATAACAAAGTCTCATAACAAATAGTGACACATATAACTTTATTTGTTTATTTTTATTAATAAATCAAATGTTATTTTTAAAATAACCTTTTTCCTCATTTTTAATTTTATTTCTTTCTTATAACAGGAAAGTGTTTTAAGCTTTGTCAAAATACAAGTTTTCAAGATGGCGGAATCTTCACAAACTGTCGATCAGAGTTGCCAACCTTACGAAGAAAATTATCGTATTTGCCTCCTTGATATTGTATTTCACTTAAAATCATCATATAGCCACTTCATCATATTCACTTAAAATCATCATTACGCCCTCACTCAGTTCGTTACACTTACGCCCTCTATCGATAGAAATAGTAACTAGGTTCCTCTATGACAATCTCTTAAACTTTATATCTGTGACTTCTTTCAACAAAAAATTTTTAGATTACATTTTACAATGNGATAAGCTAATCTCCAGATTAAATGCAAAACAAGTTAACAAAACAAATATAACAAAGAAAGAAGAAAGTAAAAATGTAGTCTATAAAATTCCGTGTACATGCGAAAATAAAAAATTTTATATAGGTGAAACTAAACGTAAAGTTAAAGTAAGATTGAAAGAACATATAGCCGATTTGAAATATCGTAGACTAAATTCTGCTTTTCATGAACACTGCCTTTTAAATAATTGTAATATAGACAAAAATAATATAGATATTTTACACAGAGAAAAAGATACATATAAAAGAAAATTCAAAGAAAGTATAGAAATAATCAAAAATCAAAATAGTATAAATAAAAATCCTAGCATCTCTATAAACGAAAACTGGTTAAAAATTTTATATTGATTATATTCACTGGATTCAAATTATTATTATTGTGATCAATGTGCTAATTAATAATTATTGAACTGTTAAATAAATCAACAATAACAAAAAACTGTAATGTTGTAATGGGAGTCAAATAATATGTAAATCTACATTAAATGTTAATAATGTTTACCAACTTCAAGACATTGTAATATCATTAGTTCAAATAATAATCTATAATATTAAATATTAAAATGTTAAATAAATCAACAATCATACATTGTAAAAAATATAGTAGATGTCAGATATGTAAATTTATATTGTAGAAGTTATGTAAATTCGTATTATATTGTCAATGCGTATCAAAGGTAATAAGGATTTTGTAGAAAGCATAATCAATTGTATACCAATTTGATAATTGTTGTCCAGTGTATGTTTATATCAAGAATATGTCCAGAATATGTTTTATAGTTTATATTAGTTATATAATAAGTTTATGTCCAGAATATGTTTTAGATCAGGGATTTTTTAGAACTGTTTTGTAAGTGAAAGGTACGTTTTATATTTTTATGATTTCTACAATACTTGTGTTTTTATATGTATGTTATATTCTTTTTTAATGTTTTAGTTGGCTGAAGAGGGGCTTAAGAGCCCGAAACGTGTAAAATTTTCACACATATCAACTAAATAAAGATGAGAAAACCCGCCAAGTGTCTTAATTTATAACACTTTATTGTGTTAGAAGCATAAATATTTATAGCATTTCAATTTTTCTTTCTAATATATTTTAATCAACATATCAGGTAAAAACTAATAAGTAGTGCTCATTTGGGCTAACTCTCATTTTCACAATTTTCATGTGTAATTTTAGATATCAGCTGATGATGTAACAGATGATATAATTTCAGCTGTGGAGGGAGGACACTCCTAGTGGCAGAGGGAGGAATTACAAGAATATGCAAGTCATCACATGTTGTAAAAAATTTAATGTAAAATAAATACAAAATAATAATAATAATATGATAATTTTAACCATATGAAAAAAGTGTCAAAAAGTTTTCTGCTTTAAAAAGAAAACTAATGCATTAAATTTTGATTCTTTTTTCTTCACAGTCATTGTGTTTGTTGCTCTTGTTAAAAAATGTCACTCCTTCATACTGTTAAAGTTTTTAAATTAATGAATCAGGAACAATTTAAATCCTTATATTATTATTTCAGCAACCTAATAGTGCTGTTTTTTCACAAACTTATCACAATGACTTTTGTATATTATAACACTCCTTTTTTATTTTTTTTAAGTACCTTTAACAAAATGCATATCTGACATTCCTTCCATTTTCTGTATTTTGCTACATCTCAGTCTACAAACCTACAAACCTCAGAAGAACTCTAAACAGAAATGGTCCTATGAATGTAATCAAGCATTTAAGAGAGCCAAAGATGCTCTTTCAAACATAACTCATTTAGTACATTCAAAACAAGGCTGTATGTAATGTGTTATGGCTGATACATCAGATATGGTAGTTAAGACAGTCCTTCAGCAGTTGTGCAAAGACTTAAAAAGTAACATAAAAATAGGAGTCATTCATTCTTTTCAAGGAAACTTGCCTCATCAAAAAATGAAATACAGTAGAGCATCGTTTATCCGAAAGAATTCCAGTTGGCAAATTTAAATTTTCGCTAGTACTGTGGCACTGCAATCTTTGGCTATATCTTGGGCTACTCCAATATTTTTTTTTGTTGATGTGTGTTTTTTAGCTGGCAGCACTGACACTGTGTGGTGTTTTTCTGAGGATTGTGTATCATGCTGAATCAAATGTTTTTGATACTAGATTAACTTCTAAAGTATAAATTTTTTTTTTGTTTTTATATTTTTCAATATATTTATTTTGTTTGTAAAAAATAAAGAAATAATTTTTAACGATACAATAGCCACGATTATTATTTTAAAAAGTTTACGTTAGGCTTANTAATAATTTATCAAAATATTTTACACAATTAGTAAATGAAGGAAAATCCAATCTGGGCCTAGCAACATTAGGGTGGCTAGTGAAAGGAAATTACAGAATTTAAGATTACGTATATTTATTTAGTTCTTTTGTGATTTTTTTCTAACAGAGTGGGGGCAGCCATCTACCAAATTGGTATATAATAATCAATAAGTGATTGAAAATTAGTGGAAAAAAAAGAAATGTAAAGCTGTTTTAGAAGATATCAAATGGCAAAATCTCCATAAGGTTGTGTGTTGAATTGTAAGAGATTTAACTATTTTTTCAATGTGAGTTTGAAATAAAGTTTACTATCAAAAATAGTGCCTAGATTGTTTACAGAGTTGACATAATTTATAGATTCAGTATGAATAAAAGGACAGAAAGAATAAATTTCCGGTTAACGAAAACCACATTGTAACTGTGTTTTGGGAATTATTTCTTAAGTTTGCCTTTTCAAATAATTTGAATAATATATTTAAATCTGATTGTAGAGAAAAAGGGTCATGATTTATTAGTTTAATGTCATCAATATATGTTATAACATGTAACTAAAGATGGTTAAAAATTTTATTTATGTAAACAGAGAAAAAGAGGCTGCTAAGGATCGATCCTTGCTGAATGCCACAGATCGGGCGGAAATCAAGGAATTCAAAATCACCTATTTTAATTTTACTAGAGCATGAAAGGAAGTAATTATTCAACCAAGAATGGAATACAGGATCTAAATCAAATTGTTCTCTTAGTAAAATTAATAGAAAATTGGAAAAAATGGATTCAACAGCCTTAGAAATATCTGTATAAATAACAAAAATGGTGCATTTATGTTCATATCAAACTTATGTTATTATAGAGCTATCTCCAATTGATTAACTTCACAAACCAAAAAGCAGAGAAATTGATAATATAATATACATTCTTTTTTAAAATTTAAATAAACATTGTAAAATATATTATTACAAGCATTTATCTAACAACATATTGTATATTATAAAATAATGATTATTCCAAAGACACACTATTTTTATATCTTACTTAATCGTACTATGAGTGAGTACATGAAAATTCAAATTCCCCTTCTTTTCTGACTTATGGAGGCTTAAAAACTTCTGAACTCTAAACCGTTTGCTAAATAAAATAGAAATAGAATTAGAATAAAAGGTTGAAAAAGCAAACCAGTTTTTCTTAGAGAGAAACCTTTTTTATTACATAGGAATAAACACAATGTAATAAAAAAGGTCTCTCTCTAAGAAAAACTGGTTTGCTTTTTCAACCTTTTATTCTAATTCTATTTCTATTTTATTTAGCAAACGGTTTAGTGTTCAGAAGTTTTTAAGCCTCCATAAGTCAGAAAAGAAGGGAAATTTGAATTTTCGTGACTCACTCACAATAAAATTAAGTAAGATTAGATAATTCTGACTCCATCGTTTTAAATATTTTAATTAATTTTTTTTACTATTTTTATACTTTTTGCAAAACTAAGGAAGTTAATTGATTTGGCTGTGAATGGCTCATTTATTTATTATATTAAACTTAATATGTATATTATTTACTTATTGACTATTTTAAGTATTTTAAATGTTAACATTTATTATAAAAATGTTTATCATAAATAAATATTCTTCATTTTTTTATTATATAAGTAGAAATAATTTTTATGTATTCATAATATAATTCTAAATTAAAATTCATGCATTATTTACTTCTAAATTACAAATTTTATAGTAATAGTTTTTGAATTATAGTGGAAATGAATTTAATACCTCTGAATCCAACCTTGATGTAATAATCTCTTCATTACTTTCTAAACGACATAATTGTGAAAGAATTTCCATGCATCGAATCACTATAAATCTATCTTGAGATTTAATTCCTTCTACAACAGTTTTAAAAATAATTCTTGAACATAAATCTTCTTCTAATGATAATTTCACCTAAAGAATTGTAAATTATTTAATAACAAGATGCACAAATAAATTAAATTTGATTTTTATTTATATATAAAATAAATAAAAGAAGATAAATTTTAAATATACACAATATATTTCCTCAATTCAAAGACACTTTTTTACTCATTTTCATTTGTTTAAAGTAGAGGTGTCTTTGAATTAATTGTATCATACACAAGTGCAGTCTAAAACAATAATTAGAATTCATTATAAGTGCAAATGAGACATTATTAGACATTATGCATCAATAATAAGGTATTTTTCATATTTATTCAGACATTCATCAACAGTAACTTAAACAGTGCATTGCATTTGTTATTAAGTCCAACATATACAAAACAATATTTATTTACTAAGGTCTGACATAATACAATAAATGATGGGAAAAAACATATGGTACTATTCCTTTACAGATATCAAAAACAAAAATATATCAAAATAAACTGTTTCAAATTTATCTGGACAGTTATTATTTTCCACAAAATAAACTAAAATACGATAAGGTCATGTAGGTAATGTGCAAATTAGGAGCAACCATTACACACCTGAGATCCCTTGTTTAACTCCAATAAGTCCTATATGTAGAAAATGGATTAATGTTTTCGATCCTTCTCTTTCTTTTGATCTTCATATCCAGATTTTCTTATAAAAGTATGAATCCAAAGCAAACTTAATTATGAGTTCCAAGTGCATGTTCTTTTTATGGAATATCTAACAAAATTTCAAATTCAAAACTAATCCCAATGTGCATTCTTTTTGTAGAATATAAAAAATTCTTTTTAAAACTTTGATTATCTATATATATATAAATGAATGTATGTGTGTGTGTCCTTCATGCATTACCACACCGTTTATCCGATTGCCATGAAACTTTGAGAAGTTGTTTAATATACTCCGGTGAAGGTTTCTGGCATAGTATGATTGCCATGAAGCTTTGGGAAGTTTTTTAATACACTCCCGCGAAGGTTTCTGGCATTTATCATATGATAGATGGTGTGCGTTTACACGAGCATTCGAGCACTGTGTGTTCGATCGATTTCAAATTGTGAAGACCATTTCCCCCTTCAAAAAATATCTCTATATATGCATTTGTGAACTGTTATTTACGATATTTGTAATAATTTTTGTTTAATCACTTTATTTCAACTTTTTTTT